CCGTATCTAACCGACTCTTAGGTTTCTTTTTAAGAAACCGTAGGTTTTTATATAAATCTATAACAGCACCGATAATTAGGGTAGGTTTTTTATTTTATAAAAATAAGCCGAAAAAATACCGAACCGTACCGAATAAATTTTACATGTGGAAAATATATTTATTTAGTAAGTTTAAAAATAATAATGCATTAAATTTTCTTTGGGTCATGGAATTATGAAAACTATTACAAGCCAACAAGTAATTAGACTCAAAATACTAATTCCTAAAACCTATTAGGTTACTTCTACTTAAACTAAGTTATTTCAAGTATCTTTATTAGCAAGACACAAAGTATTCTAGCGATTATGAGCAAACTACAATGTATTGAATATGTTTCCTTTCATATAATTTAGATTTATCTTTTTGAATATTTAATCTTCTATAGACTCTATTCTTGAGTCCCAGCTTGGTATATCTTTCAACTCGTGTGATTTATATTTTCTTTGCCTTTGTTTGATTTCTTTTACGTTGTTGTAGAATAGTCGATGGATCTATACTCTAGCCATCTTTCTTTTTCTTTTTTTAATTCATCACCTTTTAAACAGTAAAAATGTCTAAAGAATTTTTCTAAGTCCTATAAAAGAACGTATGTTATTGCATTCTACTTCTACTGGTGAATTTTACATGATATTAAAAAAAATACCGAAAATTAACCGAACCGTACCGCTACCGAAGAGAAACCGACATGATTGGGACGGTTTCGAAAAGTCTAATTTTGGTTATACATAATAGAATAACCGAAAAATTGGTATGGTACAAATTTTATAAAATAACCGGCCGAACCGAACCATTGACACCCCTAGTCAGTACGGTAGGTATCGGTGATCAATTCTCTTTATTTGCTTATATACTCCCTCCGTATCAATTTATGCGAACATATTTCTTTTTTAGTCCATGCCAAAAAGAATGATTTCTTTCCTTATTTGGAAATAATTTACCTTTATACAATAATTTATAGCCACAAAAAATATATGTGCCTTATTTTACACCACAAGTTTAAAAGTTTTCTTTTTTTTCTTAAATTACGTGTGCAGTCAAATAAATTCACATAAATTGAAACGGAGGGAGTATCTTTTTTCCTCTGAACAAAATCGTGTTTCTGCCCCTAAATTTCACGACTGTTCTTGCTATTGATGTTAATACAAATTGTCTGATTAATCAGTATACCAAACTGTTTATTGTTTGGTTTTCTTGCTTTATATTTATATAGTATGGATCACTTAATTTTCAATTTATCAAGATGACATTTTCCACAAATAGTTTATGTGAGAATATCAAGCTTTTTTGGTTTTTCGTTTTTAAGAATGAATAACTAAAGCTTTCCAAAGAAAGTATACAAAACTAGTTAATGTGGAGGGTATTTTTGTAAACCAATATATTTTTTAAAAAATATTATGCAATATATGTTATTTTTAATACATCAAATCAAACAATCGATTAAAAATAATCCCAGCATAATTAGTCTCAGCATAATTAATCTCAATATTACTATTTTTAACATAACTAATACATCATATTCAGTAATATTCTTATACACTCTACCTAATGACCTCTAACTGTAATAAATTGAGTTCAACTATTGAAGAATAATACATACATTGGTGTGTTTGGTATGAAGAAAAATATTTACTTGCACAATATTTTTCTAAAAAATATTTTCTTGAATTATAAGTGATTTTATTACTTATTTTCCATGTTTGGTTGGTGAAAGGAATTTTTTTTTTGCAAATATTTTCTAATTTTGGTTAGTGAGTTAAAAGTATTTTTTATAAAAAATATATGTTTTAGGCAAACNGGGTGGTGGGGGTTGGCAGGGAGGAGAAAAAGAATTTTGAAAAATATTTGAAGAATTTTGATAAGAAAAATATTTTTAAAAATATTTAAGCCAACTAAACATGAGAAAATAAAAATAAAATCTGAAAAATGTTTTCCATGATGCCAATTACCAAACACACCCCTGGTGGTGAAGATGTTAATTGGACTAACAATTTTCTTTTCCTTCGATATTAAGGGCCCAATTGGTCGTAAAAAAAGATTTCTTTTTTCGACTTTGTTTCTTTTTATCCCGAAACCAATATTTGTCTGTGAAATTTTCGATTTTCATTTGAAGATACAATAATAACAACGATTGAAATTCCACTAGTGGGATTTGGGGAGGGTAGTGTGTACGCAAATCTTACCCCTACCCCGAAGGGGTAGAGATGCTGTTTCCGAAAGACCCTGAGCTCAAGAGACAAAAAGACAAAAGGAGACAATATCAGTATCACCAGAGAAATCATAGGAAAAATGGGAACATCATGAAATCCAGAAGAAAGATGCAAAGCAAAAGCGATAGCTAGTAAATAGGTCCGGCACTGAAAAGCGAAATAATAAGACACGACATTGTCACTAGCTATCTTCGACAAAAATCCTATTAGCCTAGTCTCACAACGGTACGAGGTAAGGCAAGACTCGACTACCTCCTAACCTACAACCCTAATACTCGACCTCCACATCTTCCTATCAAGTGTCATGTCCTCGAAAATTTGAAACCTCGTCATGTCCTACCTAATCACCTCTCCTCAATACTTCTTACGCTGCACTCTACCTCTTCTCGTGCCCTCCACAACCAGCTACTCACACCTCCTTACCGGGGCATCTGGGCTTCTCCTCTGTACATGCCCAAACCATCTGAGCCTCGCTTCCCGCATCTTGACATCAATGGGATCCACGTACACATTCTCCCGAATATCATCATTCCTAATTTTATCCATCCTACTGTGCCCGCACATCTACCTCAACATCCTCATTTATGCTACTTTCATCTTCTAGATATGTGAGTTCTTAACAGGCCAACACTCAGCCCCGTATATCATGGTCGGTCTAACCACCGCTTTACAGAACTTACCTTTGAGTATTGGTGGCACTCTTTTGTCACACAGGACTCCAGATGCTAACCTCCACTTCATCCATCTTACTCCAATACGGTGTGTGACATCCTCGCCGATCTCCCCTCTTCCTAGATAACCGACCCAAGGTACTTGAAACCCTTAAACTCAAGAGCCTGTCTCCAAACGTCCAGCCTCTCATTAACTTCAGCTCGTGATTCATCAATCAGAACTATGTCATCGACGAATAGCATGTACCATGGCACCTCCCCTTGAATATGGTATGTTAATGCGTCCATCACCAGGGCGAATAAGAACGGACTGAGCGCAGAGTCTTGGTGTAACCCCATAACAAACAGAAAATGCTCAGAATTGCTTTCTACTGTCCTTACCCGAGTCTTAGCCCGATCATACATATCCTTAATCGTCATAATGTAGGGAACCAATACACCTTTTGCCTCCAAACATCTCTAGAGAACTTCTCTAGGAACCTTGTTATACGCTTTCTCTAGGTCAATAAACACCATGTGCATGTCCTTCTTCCTATCTCTGTACTGTTCCACCAACCGCCTAATAAGGTGTATAACTTCTGTAGTAGAACGACCCGGCATGAGCTCGAACTGATCGTCGGATACATACACTGATATCCTCACCCTCTATTCAACCACCCTCTTCCATACTTTCATGGTATGACTCAGTAATTTGATACCCCTATAATTGTTACAACTCTAGATATCACCTTTGTTCTTATACAATGGAATCGTCGTACTCCACCTCCACTCATCCGGCATCATTTTCGCCTTAAAAATAACATTGAACAACCCAGTCAACCACTCTAAACCTGCTCTCCCCACACACTTCCAAAATTCCACAGGAATTTCGTCAGGCCTGGTCGCTCTACCCCTACTCATCTTACTCATAGCTCCCACGACCTCCTCAACCTTGATGCGCATGTAGTTCCCAAAGTCATGGTGACTCTCGGAATGCTCCAATTCACCTAACACAATATCCCGATCCCCTTCTTCATTCAAAAGTTTATGAAAGCAAGTATGTCATCTCTTCTTAATCTAGGAATCTTCCAGCAATACTCTACCATCGTCGTCCTTGATGCATCTCACTTCGTCCGAATTCCAAGCCTTCCTCTCTCTAAACTTGGCCATCCGGAATAACTTCTTCTCCCCACCTTTTTCCCCCAGTTCCTCTACATACGACCATAAGCCGCAGTCTTAGCCTCCGTGACTGGCAGCTTAGCTTCCTTCTTAGCTACCTTATACCTTTCCATGCACGCTCGCCTTTCCTCCTCACCTGTGCTCCCCACTAACTTCAGGTACACCGCCATCTTCATTTCCCCTTTACCTTGGACCACTTCATTCCACCACCAGTCTCCTTTATGCCTGCCAGAGACGCCCCTCGAAACCCCTAACACCTATCTCGCAGCCTCCCTTATATGTCGTTGACCATATAGTGCTCGCGTCACCGTTGCTCCTCCAAGCTCCCATAGCCGACAACCGCCCCTCCAACTTTTGGGATTTATCCTTAGTTAAGGCTCCCCACCTAATTCTCGGGCTTTCTCGAGCAAACCTTTTCCTCTTCTTTAATATAATACCAACGTCCATCACCAAGAGCCTATGCCGCGTCTCAAGTATCTCACCTGGAATCACCTTGGAATCCTTGCACAACCCTTTGTCACACCTCATGAGGAGGAGATAGTCAATCCGAATCTTCGCCATCGCATTTTGAAATGTAACCAAATGTTCCTCCCTCTTCAGAAAGGTAGAGTGCGCAATCACCAATCCAAAAGTCTTAACGAAGTCCAACAACGAGGTACCTCCTCCAAAAGGATATTTTTCGAAATTTTTACTTCAGATCACTCACAAAAATTCAAAAACAACCCAAAATTATATTCATGTCCAAATATAACTCTAATTTTCAAATATTATTTTCACTTAAATTTTTTCCACTTTTTCCAAAATTTTACAATTCTTATGTCCAAACGCTCACTAAGATATGTGCTTAAACCCTGGTGGTGAAGATTTTAATTGGACTAAATTAAATTTTTTCCTTTGGGTAAGTGAGTGCTTAAACAAACAAAAAAAAAGAGTAAAAACTTGGAACCTCTCAACCTGGAACGTCTCATCTTAATTCTTATCATTTTGGTTCCCTATGCAGTGCGCTATGGAGCTTCAATTGTCTTCCACTTTCCTCTCATCCTCCATCTCCAGCCCCTATTTGATGATAGTCCCCAAACAACATATAAACCAACAAAAAGCACAAGTTTTGAGTATCAAATCATCAAGTTTAAATCCAGAAAACACTTCGGGAGGCCTGCAAAAAAGTTCAAAGAAAGATCTGTCTCGTTTACTGAGAACAGAAGCCGCTATTAGAGGTATCGAGAGGAAAGCCGACTCTGAGAAATACACTAACCTTTGGCCCAAAGCTGTTTTGGAGGCTCTCGATGATTCTATTAAACAAAACCGTTGGGACTCTGCTCTTAAGGTTTTTTTACTTCATACACTAATAAATTTCTGAATACATTTTATAAGGGTTTTTTCTTGCCTTGTAGTTGAAATATAAAGGAGTTAAAATTCATAAGAAGGGATTCAATACAACAACAACAACAAACCAGTAAAATCTCACGGGGTCTGGGAAGTAGAATGTAGGCAAACCTTAGCCCTACCTCGGAGGGGATGGAGAGGCTGTTTCCGGTTGACCCTCGGCTTATAGATTGCCAAAAAAAAAAAGGAGAAAAAAAGAACCAAATTGAAATGTAAAAGAAGATAGAGTTGGAACTAATATAATGTGAATAATCATTCATTTTCGTTGTTATATCCCATGGTTTAAGGTTCTTATGTCTCCGCTATTTACCATTGGGCTTCATTGTTAGTATGAAACAGACCGAGGTGATTTAATAGCTTGTTTGGCCAAGCTGCAAAACTCAGCTTTAGTTTATTTTGAGAAGTGTTTTTCTCAAAAGTACTTTCGTGAGAAACAGTTTGTGTTTGACTAATTAATTTGTTTTAGCAACAATTAGTGTTTGTCCAAACTTTTAAAAACTGCTTCTAAGTGTATTTTTTTCAAAAGTGATTTTCACAAAAGTACTTTCGGAGAGAAGCTACGTTTTTCCGCTTCTCCAAAACTGCTTCTGCTCAAAAGCACTTTTTTTTCTTCTTCTAAAGTTTGGCCAAACACTTCAAACTTTGAAAAAAAATGCTTTTGACTTTGAAGAAGCTTGGTCAAACTTGCTATTAATTTGGCCATAAAATGCATTCTCCATTGCTTTCTTGCATCAACTTCTAAGTGTCATCAAACTGCTTATTATTGAATCTTGTACATACTCTCAATCTTCATGCTAGTGCACCCATATGGTGTTGTAGATTTCTCTGCAACCTATGCAGCAATGGCTATATTCTTGTCAGATACAGCTTTCCTAGTTACAAAATCGCTAACTGTCACTTTCAAATAGTGCAACCGATCATCTTTGCTTAGACCTTTTAGTGAGTTGGAATAATTTTCTAAGACTGGCTTGAAACATTTCTCTTCAAGCACCTTCATTTGCAAGCCTTTTGTTATTCTTCTGTTTAACTCTTGATCACATGCTCGACTAAAATGGAGGGGAGACTAGAAAAATGGGTAAACTCTTGTATGTTAATGTTTAATATTGTAATTCTAAATCGTGAAGTCATAAGTAGTATTTCTTTATTTACTTTGGGTTGCATTATCCATTTATGAATCTTCGGTTGCATACAAATATTGAAGCCTATGTCCACAATAGTTTGGATTGAGGCTTAGTTGATTGACTCACCAGAGGCTTATGTAGTCGTTACTGTGTTCCAAATAAAACTGTAGATAAAACTCGNTTTTTCCATTTATGAATCTTCTGTTGCATACAAATATTGAAGCCTATGTCCCCAATAGTTTGGAATGAGGCTTAGTTGAGTGACTCACCAGAAGCTTATGTAGTCGTTGCTGTGTTCCAAATAAAACTGTAGATAAAACGTATATTTATTGTTTTAACAATTTTTCTGACAGAAATGTGTTCTTACTATTAGATTTTTGGCCTTCTTCGCAAGCAACATTGGTATGAGCCAAGATGCCACACATATGCTAAGCTTTTGGTAATGCTCGGCAAGTGCAAGCAGCCAAATCAAGCTAGCTTACTTTTTGAGATCATGCTAGCCGATGGGCTTCAACCAACACTAGATGTTTACACTGCACTTGTTAGTGCATATGGCTTTAGTGGCCTCCTTGATGAAGCGCTGCGCACCATTGATGATATGAAATCAGTTAGTAATTGCAAGCCTGATGTGTATACTTACTCAATCCTTATTAATTGCTGCACTAAATTTCGTCGTTTTGATATGATTGAATATATTTTAGCCGAGATGGCATATTTGGGAATAGAATGTACTTCTGTGACTTACAATACCTTAATTGACGGCTATGGTAAAGCTAAGCTGTTTGAGCTGATGGAAAGCTCCTTGACAGATATGATCGAAAGTGAGACTGCCTCTCCAGACGTTTTCACCTTGAATTCAGTAATTGGGTCCTATGGTTGCTGTGGGAAACTTGAGATAATGGAGAAATGGTTTGAAAGATTTCGGGTAATGGGAATAAAGCCAGATGTTATGACATTTAACATTCTAATCAAGTCATATGGAAGAGCTGGCATGTATCAGAAAATGGAGTCTGTACTTGATTTTATGAGGAACCGGTTCTATTCCCCAACAGTTGTGACATACAATATTATCATTGAGATATTTGGGAAGGTGGGACTTATTATGAACATGGAAGAGTTTTTCCTACAGATGAAGCACCAAGGAGTGAAGCCAACCTCATTCACTTATTGCTCTCTTGTTAGTGCTTATGGTAGAGCTGGACTTTTGGAAAAAGTTGATTCAATCATGAGGCAAGTAGAGAATTCGGACGTAGTTCTGGATACTCCTTTTTTCAATTGCATCATTAGTACTTTTGGTCAAGCTGGTGATTTAGAGAGGATGGTGGCATTGTTCTTGGAAATGAAGGTCAGAAAATGTAAACCAAACTACATCACATTTTCTACCATGATCCAGGCCTACGATTCACAAGGGATGATCGAAGCTGCCAATGACTTGAAGAGTAAACTGATTACTGCTTGTGGTACTTTGGCTACTCATACTATCCAGCCTCTGTTTTTTCTTATGCATATCATTTTTGCTTCATTGTATGAATCCTCACAGACTTACAGTTAGTAGCATAAAACCGAGCTATTTAAGTTAGCTCCAACACATTTCTGGCTAAATGTAGATGATAATGAAAAAGGTTGTCGTATTCTCTAATAAATCAGCTTTTATTTTTCTCTGTTGTCTGTACTAAGTTATTCTTTCAATTGGCTGCTTGATATCTGACACTTTGTTGTTACATTTTCTTAGAATCAAATGAAATGATCAGAGGCTAGTACTGTTATTCTGTCACTGGAGGAAAACTTTCACGTGGAATTCTGTTCATCAATGTTGTGAAAGTGCGCAGAGTGTTATCTGCATGCGAGCTTGTAAGTGTTTGTGTTCTCTTGTTCATTGTCTCTGCGCTTTTGTTTGTGGGAACTCATCTAAACTCATTAAATGGCCTGAAGTTAAAAGGCTTTTAAGCAGTCAAAGTGGTGAGCCAAAGTTGAAGGCTTTCATGCACTCAAAGCTCATGCTTTTGGTTTGTGCAACTGAAGATTAATCTATTTTTATTAAATAGAAATCAAGTTTGTCTTAAACCCAAAAAAAATAAAGGGAAAGAAAAGAGAAAGAAGAAAGAGAAGTAGTGCTGCGACTGATGCCCTGACAGAGATGCCTTATTAGCTACTCCCTCCGTCTCAAATTATTTGTCGTGGTTTCTAAAAATAGTTGTCTCAAATTATTTGTCATTTTAGAAGTTCAAGAGTAAATTAATTATTTTTTTCCTATTCTACCCTTAATATTAATTGTTCTTGATGACTACAAATACCTTAATTATGAGTAAGTATTAAATGAGAAGAGATTATATCTTAAGACATAAATTAGGATAAAATAGTCAAAAACCTTTCCTATTTAATATTTTCTTAAGGGGCGTGTAAAAGAGAAACACGACAGATAATTTGAGGACGGATGGAGTATTTATTAGAATACATGTATTTACTGGAAGTGAAATACTGTATTTCCTCTCTTTTTGTTTTTGGATGTGAAATACTGTCGCTCTTGTAAATTCTCTTATATTTACTTGTTGAGAAAATACATATCATCTGTATATGTGTTTGACTATACTTCATCGTAACACTGTTGATCTATTTGTGTAGAAGGATGCTATAACAATTTGTAAATCAGATGGCATTGATCCAAGGAAAGAACATAGACATAGTGAGTCTATTTGCAGCGGTCAAACTTCTCTTCACATGTCTCTGTTAATTTGAAAGGCCTTAACTCACAACTAGACAGGATTGCGGTTTTAATGGTGGAGAGGGAGGACGTGATCAAGGGACGGCAATTTAAGATTGTAGAGCTCTTGCTGGGCAGCCACTTTGGTGTAACTTCTCTGTATAGCTTTATGGTTTGTCTGCCTGTGTATGAGAGAAGAGAGAAGATAGGTTCTAGTTATCTGGGATTTGACTCACAGCCATTCTCGAGGGTAGGGTCGGAGCAGGTCAGTGATGTAACAGGGCTTTTAAAAGGGCAAACCAATGCACATGGCGGAGCAGTATTAAAGCAGATGCTGATTCTTCCTTCTGAATTGGGTCTGTTTACCTCTTACTGGCTGCAAGCTGTGTGGCAGACATATGGAGCATTATAATGTAAGGCCATTTGCCAGCCCTTTGCTTGTTACCTGTTATTGGATATATAATTACAATTCATGTTTGACGCATCTCTAAATAATTCAAATGGATTCAGCACAAGCCTAAGAGGGAAAAAACCAAAAATTTCCATTAGAAACTGTTGAGTTACTGTCAGTGCTTCTGCCTTGTAATTGCTACTTTTGCTCTTTGAGGGATATTATCTCAGCTGATCCTTGTGGATACACCAATAGATCCATCTGTACAATATAGTAGGTTCTGTGGTTGACTGAGATTTAAGAAATTTTAATTTATGGTTGCACTTGTCCCCGCTCGGGGGTCCAGGTTGGGTTTGGAGGATGGTTACACTGGAACTCTTGCCCATGCACAAGTATTTGGTAGAATAGTCAAAGTGCACACAAATTGGACTAAATACTACCTTTAAAAAAACAAAAATAAAAGAAAGTGCATTTTTTTTGATAAGGTAAAGCATTATTAATAAAAAGCGTACCAAGAAGGTACACGAGCACAAAATAGAGCAAACAGCACCTACAAAGAGTACTCTTTACATCTTTCTCAACAGATCCAAAAATTCCAGATACTGATCCATACTATCTAATAAACACCTATTACACCAGAAAAACAGATTATGCAGACATAAATTTTTGGTACTAGAAATATTATTCTTTTTATTTTCAAAACAAACACTACTTCTTTCTGTCCAAATGGTCCATAAAATGCATAGGGGAATGGTCCTCCAAAGCTGCTTCTGAGACTTTGAATTATTGTATATGATTGAATTAAATTATTACTCTTTCTGACCATAACTATTAGAGTACCATGTCCTTGAGTGACCAACCATATGCTACTTGAGCAGTGCACATTACTTTCTAGAAGTGGATCGGAAGGTCCAGGACAGCGTTTGAATCTGATGCTACTTTCTGAAGAGCAGCAAAATACCTAACGACCTAAAGATAGGCCTTATTGCAACACATATATACAACTACTTTAATTAGCATATCATATTTGGAGAAAGTTCTTCTCCTTCAAGCTTTCAACACTGTCCTTCAAACTAACCTCTAGAGGAGTGAAATTGATGCCTAAGCCTTTTGCCCTTTCCGTAGATACTTGGTAGGGTAACATCATAGGCAGCTCCTTTTCACACATACATCCACGTTCAAGAGTTTGAGGTACCATATATAATTTAATTAGCTAGAATAAAGAATTCTCAAGATAGTAAATAGCTTATTTAAGAGTTAAGCTATAATGAAGGAAGTTGTACATCTGAATAATTTGAAGGCATCAAATTCTGTTTTCTCTCAAAGTTTATTCACTTGCTTCATCAAAATATCATAAGTTACTAGATGTTCTGAGGTGAATTTTTTAATTGTCTCTGCTGAACAATGTAGAGTTAGCTATGAAAAAATGTATTGATATGAATTATATATGAAAATTATTTCTGTTTTATACATGCCGAGGTTTGTTATATGTGTCATAATCGGTCATCATGTGTTTAATACCTTAAATATTACTATCAGATACTTACTTCTCAGGGTAGTGATAGAAGGGTAAGGCTTGTGTAGAGTCTTCATAACCCTAGAAGAGGACATAGTTATCTCAACTAAACAGTATCTGCCACTAGCTGAAGGAACTTCTAATGCTTGAACATGTGTTTACCCTCAAAATCGGATAATAATTGAATTTGTAAGTAGTTTTAAGGATACGTGGATTAACTTGAGACAAAGCGATGAATTAAGTTGCAATTGAAATAAACAATGATAAAGTAAATTCAAACCACACGAATTGAACAGTTACAGTCTTGGGAGGTTGAACACCCTCGAACTGGATGAACTTCAGTCTGTAACAAGGCACAGTTGAATAAGAACTTAAAGAGAAAAATAATACATTGTTTTGGAATGCGTGTTACAATATGTTTTACAAGTAATCAGACCCCCTTTATATAGCAGAGGAGTCCTACTTTAGGTACAATTCTATAAAAGGTAAAAAAATCTCTTGATTTACTGATTTGTCGGTTCCTTATTGATATGTGAGAGATATTCCCACTGTAATATCCGACCGGTCATGGATATTCGGCAACTGTTATTTCGGTCTTCTGTTGGTTACACTGACAATGTTTCCTCGAGCTTGTTCAAGGTCAGGGTCGATTCCGGGATCACGGTCTCAATGTTCTCGAGAACGGACATTCTGATCTCGGGTTCCGGCCCGGTGGGACCGGGGGTCGATCTTCAGTCCCTCATGTTCCGAGCCCGATCTACCATTTCGTAGACGATGCCGGTTTCTACCATATACAATATGTGCATTAGCAATGTCTCTAACATTGACAAACCAATAGACTCCAGTAGGCGACATATCTTTGCCTGCATCATGTAGAAGCCGTGTCTCACACTAAAATGTTTGTCATGCGATGCTTATTTAGAAAAAAAGGTGTAAACAGGAAGGAGGAGGTATAGTTGGTGAAAAAAGATCATCAGCCCGAGGACTTGTTAATTAGCCTCAAAAGACATGATAGATAATCGAGGTAAGCATTTACCTCCATGTAAAATAACTACAGATTACTAATTTCTCTCCTTAGAGACACTGCATATCACTTTCTAGAAATAGTCAATTTTCTAGTATCGGCAACAATCTCATATTGCCTTTAGGTGTCTTTTAATGATATTTGATGTGTTTATAAGTAGAAAAGACTACCTTTCATGCGTTGTAAAAGTTTGATATCTGAACTAGAGGGAACTATAATTTAGTCAAAGTTTGGTAATTTGAATCTGAACTAGAGGGAACATTCTGAACTGTGCATACTCTATCCTTCCTAGATCCCACTTTGTTTATACTGAGTTTGTTATTATTGTTGTTGTTAGTTGATTAGAACTAAGTCTATATTGCAATACATTAGCTTGGTTTGGAAATATATTTTGCATTCGTATTAAATACAAGTTAAGCGTTTGATAATTTGAATTGCATTCGCATTATGAGTGGTCTTAATGTGAGTTTATTTTTGAAATGTTCTTTTCAAAAATTAAAGCAGCCTTTTTCTAGATTTTGACTGAAGGTGATTGCTAGATCTCAATAAATTAACAGTAAAATAATGGAGTATCTTATACATTGAGGTTTTTGTGATTAGATCTTCTTCGTAAGAACATAGACGTATGTAGGAGCTATTAGAAAATATAAGTCTATATACACAACATTGTTGAAGTTTGGCAAAATGCCAAAGTCCCACATTGGTTGGGAGTTAAGTTTGGGGGGG